AAAAAGATCACTAGCACTCTCCAAACTAAAGCCTATGAATGACACCAGACAGCATCTGATGTCTGTAGCAGAGATTTTCTCACTGCACTGTAACCTACCTGCCTGATGTACCCACCAACATGTTCTTAAAATTCCTTGATTTGTGATTTTCTTTGTTCCATTACCACAAAAATGTCATCAACTTTTGCCAGACTAGAATGTGGTATTTGGGGCAACCTGGATCTGTGTTGTCAAGCTATCATCAGTCAGAAGTGGCTCTAGAATAAACTTCCCCTGTGATGTGAGACCCAAGTCTTTGCAATAGTACATTCCACTAGGAGTGAATTGTTAGATTTCCCGTGTCTGTGCGTGATACATATGTACAAAGAGATAAATGATTATAAAGCAAACACACAAATGCTGGTGCCCCCAAAATACCTGTTGTGTGGGGAAAAATCACAAACACCTGAGTAAGGAAAATGGGGGAACCTAGGTGAATATATCTTTAAGGAGGTGGGGACAAAACATCCTAAGAGAAAGGACTGAAATATGTCTTCATTGTACCTATATCTTTTGTTTTTTTTTTTTTTTTTTTTGTTTTGTTTTGTTTTTCAAGACAGGGTTTCTCTATGTAGCTTTGGAGCAGGGAACTCACTCTGTAGCCCAGGCTGGCCTCGAACTCACAGAGATCCGCCTGCCTCTGCCTCCCGAGTGCTGTACCTATATCTTAAGGTGAAGCCCTAACAGGAGAGGGGACACTAAAGAGAGTCACAAGTGCCCTTCCCTTGGGCCGCTACACTGTTGTCTTTTTTCTACTTGTAAATTTACTGTTTAACAGCAATACAGAACTCAAAACTGAATTTAATTGATGAAAAGAAATTTAATTGATGAAAAGAAATTTAATTGATGAAAAGAAATTTAATTGATGAAAAGAAATGAAGAGAGGAAAAGAAAAGGAAGGGAGGATGTAGATGTAACCAACCGTCTTATTAAATAAGAAACACAGAAACAATGTAAAAGAGAAAGCCGAGGAGTCAGAGCTCAGAGCTAAAATCTCACCCTTCCTCCTGCTGTCCCAGCTTCGCGAAAAGAGACCTACTTCCTGTCGGTTCGTTTTTTTTAAAGTATGTTGTTCTGCCTTCTCATTGGTTGTAAACCCAAACACATGACTGCCTCGTCACTGTCTGAATGTACAGCCCCCTAGGTCTTAAAGGCATATGTCTCCAATGCTGGCTGTATCCCTGAACACACAGAGATCTATGGGATTAAAGGCGTGTGCCACCACCACTACACTCTTGCTATGGCTCTAATAGCTCTGATCCCCAGACAACTTTATTTATTAACATACAATCAAAATAATATTTCAGTACAATTAGATTACCACCACAGGAGGAAGGAAGGAAGGAAAGAAGGAAGGAAGGAAGGAAGGAAGGAAGGAAGGAAGGAAGGAAGGAAGGAAGGAAGGAAGGAAGGAAGGAAAGAAGGAAGGAAAGAGCCCACTTTATACACCTATCAAAGGAATGAAACTGGAAACAGATCTCAGCCAAATCCAGAATGATGGATTATTGCCTCCACAAAACCAAGTCATTTCATTTTCTCTTAAAAAATTCAGGAACTTTAAAACTCTTGTTTCAATTATCTCAGACTGAATAAAAGCTATTGATCTCTGGGTATACTGTTACAAGATTCCCACTAAAGTCATAAATACATGCCATCTCCAAATTTCTATAGTTTGCTTCCCATTTTTTTTAAATCAGATTTTACAATGTTTTCCCTGTTAGTGGTTAAGCCATGAACACACCCAGAACACTCAGAAGAGTTAAGATGCTCAACTAGCTAGAATGCCAAATGCAGGGCCCTGAGGGTCCACTAGGAAGTGTTATATTCCAGCTAGAGCTGGAGTGGGGAGGGGAGAAAGTAAGGGAAGGGGGGAAGGGAGGGTAAGGACAAGGATGGGAGAGAGGGACAGAGGGAGGGAAGGTGGGAGAGAGAGAGGGGGGACAGAGGACAAGAGGGAGGGAGGAAGGGAGGAAAGCAAAGGAAAAGGAGAGAGAAAGGAGAGGAGAATGAGGAGAGGTGGAAGAATGAGAGAAAGATTGAGGGAAGAACTCAACTTCTCACTGTTTTCATTCTAGTAAGTGTGGTTTGTCTCTGGGTTTATCAAACTTCCATATGGCCAATTCAGTTTGCTTAATCCCACTCAAAACCACACTGACCTAATTATTTATGGTTATACTGAGGCCTGATTTTCTGATAAGCCAAGTCTTTGCTACATTTAATCCTTTAGCATTTTCAAATTGTTCTTTGTATTCTGTGTATTTTTCATTCATCTGCTCACATTTCATAAACATACAGGCAGATAAACAAGAATTCCGAGTAAAACTATCGTGTGTCAATTAAGGATGGATGAACATTTTAACTCTGTTGAGTCTTCTGACCCATAAAAATTGTTTATTCAGTCTCTGTTTATCTAGATCATGTCATGATATTTGTGTTTATGGTGTGGTGTGTGTGTGTGTGTGTGTGTGTGTGTGTGTGTGTGTGTGTGTGTGGCAAAGGTAATTTAGTGTCTTTCTTGATATCACTCCACCATACTTTTTGAGACAGGTTCTCCCATTGAACTAGACTGGCTAGACAATGAGATCCAGGATCTGTCTCTTTTTCTGTCCTCACTAGGGCACTGACATTACAGGCACAAGCCACAGTGATGGCAGCTTCCTACATTCAGAGGTTCTCATGCTCACATGGCAAGCACTTTACTGATGGAACCATCTCTTCAGACCCCATTTTCCTCTTTAGTAACAATGTATGTGTCTCATAGTAAATGTTGTATATCATTAGAATTAGTTTTACACACACACACACACACACACACACACACCACAACCTTCTCTTACCATAAGTTAGCTCATTCATTTTCATTCTAAAGCTATGTTACATAATAAACCTCTGTCATTAATGTCCATTATTGTTCCTTCTCAGATAAGTTTGAAAGACATTGAATATTCCTCTAAATAATGCTGCCATGGTAGCAATGTATCTCAAGCAGATTTTTCCAAACCATCATTTTCACTGTTTTCCCTAATATTTCATATTTGATCTGTGAGTTAGAAATATATTATTTAGTTTTCAAAAATAGGAGACTTTTATTGTACTTTTGTCATTGATTTCAGATTCAATTACATTTTGATTATATTCTCTTTATAGCCCAACAGATCACCAATTTTACCATTTCTTCCCCAAAACATGAAATAATTCATTCCACAGTTTAGGTATGATATTCCATACATTTTCATTAGTTGCAGCTTATACCTTTGAGATTTAAATCTTGTATGTCCTTAGTAATTCTCTTTTCTGCTTGAGTTACCACACGATGATGTTATTATGGCATATTTATCTATTCTCTTTTGCAGGACTATTATTATAGCTTCCCATATTTCAATATCATATATGCTTAATTACTTAATTTCTAGGAAGGCTTTTGAAAATAAGGTAAGTTTTGACTGTTGTTAACCAATGTTAAATTAAATACCTTAGCTGTGATAATTTCTTCATTTCCTGTTTTAAAATTTGGAATCTTTATGGTATAGATATTTTATGGCATTTTAAAACTACTCACTTAATTTACTCTTATCTTTAATTTGGGATGTGCTTAGACTAACATTTTGATTGATTCCTGTCTTATTTCACTCTTTTCCATATCCTTCCTTTCTCACTTTTTCTTCATAACACATGGTCTGATAATCATTCATTTTTATCTGTATTTTCAGTGTCATTATCAATTTGAATGTGAATACCATATAAGAGTCCAAATTTGCTCACTATTTAATGTTTTAGAATTTGATAAGGAGTTAATTTATATACAGCTCAACTTTCAAGAAAATAATTCATCACTATTTGTTGTGCATTTTAACATTTGTGCATATTTTGTCTTAGCAGGGATCCAAATTCTATCAGGTCTAGGACACTTCTTGAGTTTTTTATGTTTATAAGATACTCAGCCGGGTGGTGGTGGCACACGCCTTTAATCCCAGCACTCGGGAGGCAGAGGCAGGCGGATCTCTGTGAGTTCGAGGCCAGCCTGGGCTACCAAGTGAGTTCCAGAAAAGGCGCAAAGCTACACAGAGAAACACTGTCTTGAAAAGCCAAAAAAAAAAAAAAAAAAAAAAAAGATTCTACAACAAGAAATTGTCAAAGAGGCTAACTAAAATTTTTACATGTAAGAACATGTAAGAATTTACTCTATAAAGCTTTGGTTAGAGTTGTGTAAAGTTAGGAACTATAGGTCAGGGAAAATAAGTGAGTGGGTATTTCATGCATATAGGTAAGCTATGTTAATGATTATAATATGAAATTGGTGATTATTTTTAAAAATTACAGTCTTAACTGCAAAGGATTTACAGTTTGTCATGATTTCTACTCATTGTCTACACCGGGAATGACTTTGTTTAACTGGGATTATGCAGCTAGTTTTTCTCCATCTGGCGGTAGGTGAAAGAATCGCCTAGACACTCTTTCTAGAAGGATTTATGGTTTATAAACAGCTATTTATGCTTTTGTCATAGACTCTTAGATTGAGGCTGCATATTTCATGAGATATATCACCCTGGATCCACAAGAAGGCTACATGAATCATATGGGTCCTGAAACCTCACAGAACCGCACTAAACTGTGCTATCAAAGAGTGCCTCTGTGGTGATGTAGAGGCTCTGAGATGATCTGTTACTGAATACTGAGCTAAATTTAGGTACTAATAGATTTAATCATCACCATATATGGACAATAATGACTTTTTGTCCAGGTTAGATAGAATATAACTGAAACACAGTACAATTGTGCTTTCTGACTGAACTGAACTGAACAATAACTGATTGTTAATATTAAGACTCTGAGGACAATTTTTCTAGTAAATGAAATATATGCTGATTAAATTCATACTGATTTATTTCTTTAGATGAAATGATGTCCAGTTAATACTTCACTAGACCAACTCTCAATGAAATCTCTACCTGAACACTTACCTGGAACGATGAACTCTATTTCTTCTGATATTGCAGTTCCTAGTCTATTAGATGCAAAACAGCGGTATTTCCCTTGAAAGTGAGAGATGTGCCCCTCATTTGGAATCTTGAATGTGCCTGAATTGTTAGATACAATTATCCGGGGGTCAGAAAGATCAAAATGTTTGTCATCCTTGGTCCATGAAAATCTAGAAGATAAAGAAAGTATACTCTAAGTATTGGTGACATTTTTTATTTTTAAAAAGTTTTATCAAACAAATGCACAAATGATAAAACCAAGAGAATTTATGAGTTTTAAATATATACAATAAACCTTAACAGTGTATAAAGACAAATTCAAGAAATCTTACAAGTAAGGAAAATACAGTGAAAAGTGAGATAAGAGATTGAAAGCAGTTTTATTCTCTCTTAAATTGAAGGTATACACCTACGTATACACACACACATACACACACACACACACACACACACACACACACACACGTCTCTGTAACATGCCATTTACCTATGTTCAGGAAATCTCTGGATTTTAGTATGTGTCTCTTGTTTGATGTTGTTCTTGCTGGTTGTATTTCTACTTTTGTTTACGTTATTACCTTTCCCCTCTCCTGGACAACACTTGATAATCATTCTTACTGTATAAAGTTTTATATTAGGTTAGAACTTTCTTATTTAGACAAAAGGGGGGATGTGTTGGCTAGCTGTTCTGTCTCTGACCTTCAAGCTCCACCCCTAGAGATACAGCAGGCAACTACTAATTCTGGATCATTGCTATATTTTAGCACATGAAGTAAAGACAAATATAGAATGTGCTTTTCTGTGTATATGTCTGTGTGAAGAAACTTACACACACTCAAATTCCATTAATCCCCCTTTATCTGGTATTTTCAAGAGTATGACACATTTGAATCTATCTTAAATATATATATATATATATCCAGTTTAAAATGTCAGTTTTAAAATAATATTAGCCAGGAGGTGGTGGCACATGCCTTTAATCCCAGCACTTAGGAGGCAGAGGTAGGCGGATCTCTGTGAATTCGAAGCCAGCGTGGTCTATAAAGTGAGTTCCAGGACAGGCTCCAAAGCTACACAGAGAAATCCTGTCTTGAAAAACCAAAATAATAATAATAATAAAAGTAATTTTATAATGATATGTTATATTTTTGTCATGGGGTTGCTATTTCATTTTTTAACGCATTTAAATGCTATTCCTTTCATAAACAATATAGTGGTAAGAAACTCTGTAGATTAATCCTTTGATAAATTTATTTCCCATTTATTTTAGGACAATTCTTCATAAACAATGACAGTAGATTTGTAAGGGAAAAAGTCATTATAGTTTTAGAAAAATATTTCAGAAGTGTATTTGAGAAAAAAAGTACATAATTAATTCTACTCACATATGAATAGTTGCATGGATAATAATGTAAACAGGCTTGTGTGACATACATAAACATTCTGATTTTTAAACTGATGTATATTCTAATTATTGTTTATCAATAAAATATCTGGAGTCAGATATCAGGCTAAGAACCTGAAAGATCAGAGAAGCAGAAGAGCAGGCACCAGTGACCTCCTCCCTCTCCATTCCTCTATCCAAATGTGGCAAGATCCTCCCTAAGTCCCACTTTGCTACTTCCTCTGTCCTCCAAAACCTCAATGGTTAATTTTGTCAGCTGGTGTCTAGCTTTGCCCTCTGCTTCAAAACAAACCTTATTTTCAGAATGCAATCTCAGTATCACACAACAGTAGACTTCACTACCATTTGCTTAGCAATCTGATGCTTCAGTAATATGTAGATTTGTATTCTATGTTATGGTAGTCACATTAAAACAGCATAAAACAAAATAATTTCCATTATATATTTACTAATATACTTACTTTGGCTCTGGGTTTCCTTTAGCTTCACATTCAATTTGAAAATACTCATCAAAGGGAAAGGCAACTTGCACATATGACTGCTTTATGATCGTTGGAACCTGTTGAACTGAATAGCAAAACAATATACTTGAAGATTGAGGTTGTCAAAATGGGACAACAAGATTAAATAAAAAGACCAGCGTGTGCTTTCTATATCGGCAAGTGTGATGGTTGATCTTCCTTGTCAACTTGACTGCATTTAGAATCGCTCAGGAGACCCATGATAGAGTACACCTATCTGGGTGTTTTCAAAAAGGTTTAAATGAGAAGAAGAGAGACTTCCTGAATATGAAATGGGCTGGAGACATGGATATTGGAAAATGGGGTAACCACCTGAATACCATTCACCCCTCTTTGCTTCCTGACTATGGGTGCAAATTGGCTAGCTATGTCTGCCTCTCACTGCCTTCCCTGACACACTGGAGTCCATCCCCTCAAAACATGAACCAGAACAAATTTTCCCTCCCATAGGTGCATTGTTTACACATACTATACCATAGTAATGAGAATAGTAATTAATATAGTAAGTAAAAGGCTATCCCGAGAATTTTACTTCTCTTTAACATTCAGTTATGTCTAAGGAAAACACTCCCCAGTCATCATTTTATATTGCCTCATATTTAACTTTCATTTAACCCCAGAAATAAGAGATTTTTAAGACACAAGAAAAACATTGTGTTATAACTTTAAGATATCTATTTTTAAAATTATTGGCATTCCATTTATGTGGGCATGTGTAGTGATTTTATACATTTCTGTCATTTGGAAAGTTTTCTCTGTTATTTTTCCTGCTTCCATTTATATGTCATAAGTATCTAATTTACCATCTTTCACCCTACTGATATCCTGTGTCTTTTTTTGATATTTCTTCTATTATAGGGGATGTTTATTTTCCATCTCTCTTTCCAGTTAATATGTATTTCAATAGATATCATGAACATTACAGATTTTCCATTATTGGATTATCAATGTATGATAAATTTTCAGATAAGGACATAATGGAAATGACTCTAGGGATAAATGCCAAAATCATTTTACAAACAATGCATGATTATAGCAGTCCTCATAGTGTGAAACAATTGATTAATGGCTCATTAAAATCTGTTAGAAGACCATATTTATTGCAAAATAATTTTTCTTTGATCTCAATTTATTATTCTTGTTAAATCTTCTCTGCAGTCTTTTTGGTATTTGACATTTCCCATCCATGAATTTATCTTTTATTTCTCTTTCCCACTTGAATTGTCATTCCCCATTCTAAAATCAGTTTAAAATAAAGCTACATGAGATTGATAGATGCTGAAGGCAGGCACTTGGATTAAGTTTTGAAAAAGATCATAGATAATGATGTACATAATGCTATATTGCAGGTGAGCATTCAGTAATTTTCAAATTGAGACATTCATTTATTTCTTTTTTAATTTTTAATTTTTTTCTATCAAGAAAATTTTTTCATTCACTTTATATACCAATCAAAAATCCCCCTCCCCCGCAGCCTTCCCCTCCCAACCTACCCCATACTCCCCCTGCAAGGGCCTCCCATGGGGAGGCACATCCAGTAGAGGCAAGTACAACTCCCCTCCTCTCCAAGGCTGCACGAGTTGTCCCATCATAGGTAATGCGCTCCAAAAAGCCCGCTCATGCACCAGGGATGGATTCTGATCCTACAGTCAGGGGGCCTCCCAAGCAGATCAAGCTGCACAGCTGTCTCGCCATGCAGAGGCCTAGTCCAGTCCCATGTAGGTCCCACAGCCATTGATCCAACTCTCATGAGTTTCCACTCGTTTGGTTTGGCCATGAGACAGTCTTTAGTATAATTTTGACAACTGTTAAATTATATTATTGATGTATAAAGAATTACAAAGCAAACAGTGGCAGAAACTGACTTTGGCCTATGTGTTTTTGAGAAATGCAATTTGTCGACAAGCAACTGATTACTGAGTACTATTCAATCATAAAGTACAGATAGGACCTTCAACCCTGTGACACTGGGCCAGGTCTTGATTTCTTCACCTTCTTTAAAATTACAAGGCACCCAAAATGCCCCTGTTTAACTGGATTATAAGTAACAATTTTAACTACAAAAAACGTAAAAACCGAATGTGTTTATTTTTTAAATTAATCCTACAATATGTTATATAAATAATATCTTTTTTTTTTGTTTTTTTTGAAACAGGGTTTCTTTGTGTAGCTTTGTGTCTTTCCTAGAACTCACTCTGTAGCCCAGGTGGCCTCGAACTCACAGAGATCCGCCTGCCTCTGCCTCCCAAGTGCTGGGATTAAAGGCGTGCGGCACCATCACCTGACTATAAATAATATCTTATGAAAATTACTAAACATCAAGAGAAGAGTTGCATTATTTTCCATGACTGTACATCTGTCATTTCTAAAGGGATGCTAGCAAGATTCTCATGTTTACTTCTGCATTCTTTATGTTGTAATAAGCTAGTGTGATTAAAAATGTACAAATTGCCGGGCGTTGGTGGCGCACGCCTTTAATCCCAGCACTCGGGAGGCGGAGGCAGGCGGATCTCTGTGAGTTCGAGGCCAGCCTGGGCTACCAAGTGAGCTCCAGGAAAGGCGCAAAGCTACACAGAGAAACCCTGTCTTGAAAAACCAAAAAAAAAAAAAAAAAAAAAAAAAAAAATTTACAAATTCAGCTTCCTATAAACCTATAAACAAAAGGAGTGGAAAATTATACATTCCAGTCAGATGGTTTTGGTTATTGTTTTATTCTTACCTATTATAATATGAAATCTAAAACTTAACCAGTATGCCTCTTCTTATTCTATTATATTGTACAGTTTTACCTACTTTTTTACCTGTATATGAGTTTCAGACAAGGCCACAGTAGTGTTTAGAAAAAGCCTGGGTTTGCTGAGTGATATAGATCTGACAAACATTTGCACATTTTCAAACAGGCAATTAAAAATGTCACTCTACATTGCCACTGATCTAATCAGGAAAACCACTGATGTTTGAAAGCATTTGGGCTCAGGCTTACAGTGGAGGACACAAGTCTTCTACACGTCTAATTTTTACTTGAACACTCAAATTTGGTCATTGACAGTTATCATATTTATATTGCCAGTTTATCTTGAAGCACCAGGATGATTTTGTTCATTTGGGGAAAATATCTGCCTGTAAACATCTGACCAACCATAATTAGTCTGCCAGTCATACTTTCAAGTAAAAATAGTGTGTGTGCTGAAGCAATGATATAGTTGAGAAATAAAAAAATCCCATTCACTTTAAGGCAGCAGAGTTATTTTATGTCTATTTTACAGTGCATTCTAGTGTTATTTAGAAGTAGAGAATTAATAACATTATTGTTTTATTGATGCAACAATTTTAATTTTTAAAAAAATTGTTCTGTTTTAGGGGTATATGATAATGAGTGCAGGGCTATGAAATACACCCTGTGTGTTGGACAGCTTAAAGCTCATGCCGTCCTTTGTGTTAAGGAAAGAGAAAATTTTCTACTATAGATTTCAAAAAATCAACACAGAGGACAATGACAGCAAAAGGTGGTACTAATTGGCACTAGGGTATTATTTTTAAAACACTTGGATCTCACAAACCATCTCAATGTAGCCCTGAGATCCTGAAGCAACCACAAGCCATCATTTACACATCAACAGCTAGCTAAGCCTTAATAACCCAAAGATCTTCTCAATTTTAATTGCATTGATTCTCTTTTTGTCTGATAAATGTGGTAAGTCACACTGTCATCATGCTTCACACAGTAATTCAAGTTCAGGCTTCATCCAGTGGATACTGATCACCACTTTAGCATTTGCTGAAAGCATCCTCATACTCACTGGCAGTTGTCTCATTTCTGATTAACACCATTTCTAAGCAAAGTGGGTATTGAGCTTCTTGTAAGTTCATCCTGATTAAATTCTATTGCAGTTACAAATGGTAGAGAGAGGCACAGCAGCAGCAGCAATCCCAAAGATACCAGCTAATAACTTGAGAACAACTTGTTTATTACAACATTATTCTTTCTTAAATTTGCTAAGGTTGTAAAGGCTCTGCAATAACTAATTATTCAGGGAATGGAGCTAATAACCTTTGGGTGTTTGTATGAATATATATTCCACATTACAAATCCTTTCCTCTATAATTAGGCCAATTACAGAGACACCAGACTCGTTGACATTCAAATTGGATACCTGCCTTGGTTTCATTTACTAGGGAGTGCTCTAGAGTGCCAAAATAAATGGGCAATATTCAGTTGCTCTGAAAACATGCTATTAATATTTTATAACAATCGTCTGAGGACATTACAGCAGGAACGATAACTGGGACTATCAGAATAATACTAAGTGATATAAGCTCATACAAAATTTTTCATCCTTCATCACTGAAGAACAAGTCCAAAAACAGGGAGCATGAATGTGTTTGTTAGCGAAAAAGGTCAGAGGTTTGAATCTGGAATACCACAGGCATCCTTGCGGGTCTTAACTGTGTCCTGCACTCTTACACAAGAAAACTTAATGAGGTTGGAAAGATGGCTCAGCAGTTAAGAGCACTTGCTGCCTATCCAGGGGACCTAGGTTTGGTACCCAGAACACATAAAATGTTGCACAGCCATCTAATTCCAGTCCCAGGGTATTTATTGCTTTCTTCAGGCCTCTTTTGGCACCAGGCATGCACATGGTGCACAGACACACCTGCAGGCAAAACAAAACCAAAAACAAGGGTAGAGAGATGGCTCAGCCGTTAAAGGCTAGGCTCACAACCAAAAACAAAAACAAAAAACCCACTTAATTTTTTTTTAAAGGGGAAAATCTACTAAATATGAGGGTGTTTATAATCTCAGCTGGTTACTGATGAATCTTGATGAACTTGTACAAGCTTCAAGATTTCAGCTACTTATTAAAAGAAATGTGCATGTGTACATAAACATATATGCAGAATAGGAAACTGAGCTTCCTTAACAAATGAGAATACAGAAACAGAAGCTCAACCATTTGTTAAGAATATAAGAGAGTGGATTCTCACCTGAGGAATCAAGGTAGTATTGGACAACGACTTCCTTAAAGTAATTAAGATTGACTGTCAAAGGTGATTTTAAAACACATCACAAATGGTTTTCTTGCTTTCTAGTCACATTGAGTCTAAGTACTTTAAAAGGGAAGTTTTACCTTAATATCAGTACTCAGAATATTTAATAAATTGTCTGAGGCAAAGACAATTTCCTTAGAATTCACATGATCCATAATGTTAATTTTCAATGTTCATATTCTAATAAATAAAAAAGGACTCTTATAACCTTCAACACTATATACAATAGATACAGAAGGGATTCTGGTGGAAAAACATGGTAAAAATATCTGAATCACATCTCAATGACTTTTCATAGCTAGAAAAAATCCCCAATTGTCTACATTTCAAACCATAACATAAAATGTGTTTACAGTTGTATTACTTTAAACTATTAATATTATAATTAGTTGAAAATGATTGATGATGACTAACCTTTTGCATAGAATTACCAAGAAATTATAAATATATATTTATAATTCACACTAAAATACACTAGATTGGGAGGCAGTATTAGGTAATATGTTTTGGGCTCTAACATGACTTTTTGTTATTTTTCATAATTCGTCATTTGCTATGAGATGTCTTTCTATATGCTGTGTGAATATGTGTTGCTCTGATTGGTTGATAAATAAATTGCTGATTGGCCAGTAGCCAGGCAGGAAGTATAGGTGAGGCAAGCAGAGTAGGAGAATGCTGTGAAGAGGAAGGGCAGAGTCAGGACCTGCCCCCAGGAGAAGTAAGATGTGAAAGTACTGGTAAGCTATAGCCATGTGATAACTAATAGATTACTAGAAATGGGTTAAGTTATAGGAGCTAGCTAGTGAGACCACATAGTTCGTATATAATATAAACCTCTGAGTGATTATTTTATAAGTGGCTTCAGGACTGTGGGTGGGAGAGATTTGTCCTGATCATGGGGCTGGGTGGGACTGGAGAAAACTTACAACTACAGTCATTCCCATTTTTAAGTACAAATTACTTTGGGAAAGAATAGGAGGCTTCTGGGGCTGGAGAAATAGCTCAGCAGTAAAGAATCTGCACTGCTCTTGCAAAGAATCCAAGTTCAGATCCCAGCTCCAGTGTCAAACCTGCTACCCCAGCTCCAGAAGGATCTGACACTCTCTTCTGGCCTCCAAGGACACATTCACTCATATGCACATACCAACATCTGAGCACATATACAAATACTTTAAAACAAATCAAATCCTTTTAAAAATGAGGCTTATTTAATTCCTTTTTGTTATAGCTTTTGTAATGTTAGCCATTTCTAATTCAAAATTCTCCTTAAATAGATAACCAAAGCACATAAAAGAAAAAGCTTTATGTAATATTCCAGGTCACCCTGGACATATGACAAAATGTCACCTGTTATTTCAGTTCTATTTCTTGTAACAGGCCAAGGTTACATAAAAAGCCAAGCAACTAAGTTGAACATTTATGACAGCAACTAAATATCCTAACCCAAATCTAAAAGTATAGTCATGAATCATCATGATAGTTCAGAAATAGGATAGAAAAGTTACATCCTCAATCCAACATGTTCTACTTAAAAAGCAGACATCAAGTTCCATATTCAGGACTGGACACAGTGCTTTTACCTGAAAGTGGTATTTCAGCTCTTGACAACTTAAACAGGAGGAAAATTAGACTCAGGATCAGTCCTCTTCCATGCAACAGCAGCCCCATCATTCTTCAGAAAGGAGGCAATACACAGAGACTGAAAAACTTAATGTCCTAGTAGTTTCCAATCCCAACTGAGGAAAATGTGGGAAACCTGGAAAAGATCCCCCCAGATAAACAGGATATTAGTTAATCTACTTTAAAATGTGAACACAACAAAAATTAAACACATTTTTAATTAACAAGCTAATGAGCTTACTATCTAGTAATACTGTAAGAGTTTTTCTTCTTTATATTCAAAATAAGAGACATTTAATGTATGATATATTTTAAACTACTAACCATTTCAATGAATCCTAATTTTATATTAGAGTATGATTTATATTGAAAACCATTTCTCACACTGTAATGAGTCAGAGAAAAATTTCATTAATCTTATTGAGAAAGTAGTGAATTCTCAATCAATTCTTTACATTATTAAAGATCATAAAGACAAATCTTGGGCTCGTCTGGTAAATTACATTTTCATGTTCAAAATTTCACATTAGATGGTATTTCTAGTAAGAAAAAAGGAAAAAGCAAGGAAATAATGGAGGGGGCTTAGAAGATGGAATCAGTCTCATTAAGGCGTTAAGCAGGGAAGCAAGAGGACCTGAGTTTGAATCTCAAAAAACAAAACAAAAAGCCTGGCATGGCTGGGACTGGCTACAAAATCAGTCCTGGGAAGACAGATCACAGGTGCCTGGGGCTCACTGATCAGCTAGTCCAGCTGATTAGTTAGCTACAGGTTCTATGAGAGGTCCTGTCCCAAAAAGTAACATTATCAAGACTGGGTACATCCAGATGATGTGAAAAGATGGAAATTCATTACATTCATGTAAAAGACTCTCAAAGCATAAAAAGATAAAAATTATAAAGATACAAAGTGATGAAGGAAGACATTCACTGTTGCTCCTTGGCCTCCATATGAGCACACACATGAACAGTGACTCATGGCCATGCACAAACATCTATATACACATATGCATGCACGCGTGTGCGCGCGCGCGCGCACACACACACACACACACACACACACACAGCAAATGGAGAAAAACAATGTATTTTAAGTAAAATTTACAAATGTCATTGTTTCAAGCAGAAGAAAAGTCATCAATTGATTTCCATTTGAAAATAAAACAAGGATTAAAACTGGCTTTCTTTCCTTCCTACTTCAGTTTTCTCCCTAAAATATTATACTAGAATCTTCAAATTTTTTCATAATATATTTCTGTGATGGTACCACAATATTTTGCTCCAGAATGTGATATTTTTTCATGAATACAATTTTCTTATTACCATAAAAGTTAATTACTTTATTTGTTCATTACAAAAACAGATTACTAAATTTATATTTACTTCCAACTATGTTAGCTCTTAAGTTTCATCTCCAATTGCAACTCAAGAGATTCTAGGAGCTGAGCAGCCAGCTAGCTCGGGGATAGGACCTCAAATTCAATTGTCAGCACTGCAAAACCAAAAGAAAGAAAGAGATGGTAGAGCCTGTGTTCTCAGTTTCTTTTCCTGCTACTATGATAAACATACTCTGACAACTTAAGGGATAAAAGATTAATTTTAGCTCAGATTTCAAGGCATAGTCTAGCATGATGGAGAAACCAAGGCAGTAAGCAACTGAAGAGCCTGATCACATTGCTTTCAAACTCAGAAAATGACATGAATGCATGCTTGTAACTGTTTTTTTTTTCCTTCTGCTACATACATAGTCCAAGATACTAGCTAGAGATTGGTACTGTCCACAATAGATGTATTTTCTCACCTCAATTTAATACAATGAAGATAATATCCCCAAAGTGTGACCATAGGCCTATCTCCTAGAGCATTCTAGATTCTGTCAAGTTGACAATTAACACTAGACATGGCATGTGTCTTCCATATACAAATGTAAGTCACATTTAAAGTAAAACAAACAAACAAACAAACTAATGCCATTTTTTTTAATGAGCTGGGGGATATTCATTGGCAACATTTCATTTTGTATTTTGACTTTGAGGAATTCTACAATGATCATGAAATACAGGACTCTACTACTACAGACTCCTCAGAGGATATGAATTGGGAAACATTTTATTTTATGCATTATTTTACTTTATCTGATCTTAATCGTCCATCAGGAAAATGAGAATTTAAAAGCCAAAGTAATCCTTGCTTACTTAAGAATATTTACAAGTATGACAACTTATATAACTAATTTAATCTATTTTCAGACACATCACTGTGATAACTGACAGCTCATTTTCCTTCTGAAATAACTTATACTGATCAACAGAACAAAATGAATAAAAACATTACCTTTATCTACACATTAGCATAAAGCTGCATGACATTCCATCTACTTCAAAAATTAAATGTGCAAAGAAAACATTAACATCTGCCCTTTGAAATTTCCTTTTCCTCCCTCTTAAAAAGTTGAATTTACTACTCATAGTGACATACCACTCCTAGAGTATATCCTTGAACATTCTAGTACATTAATGTTTAATACTGATGGCTTCAATGGCATCTCACATATGTGTTTAATGAATTGCCCCCTATTTGTAAGGAGTTAAGCTTTTAAAACTATGATGATGTTAAGAGACCACATTTCCAGGTGAGTATCTAATATATCATCATAACCAGAATTAAAGATGGCGAACTAAGTCAGAACTGGCTCATTTATTGATTCTCCTGATTTAGACTAATGAATTAAATGGTCTCTAATTACTGTAGCTGAGTAGCTCATAAAAGCTTGTTGCTCAGGAACATCCATTGGACTTGGAAGTTTAATGGTTTTCCCTGCATGGTCAACCAAGACATCTTAGCCCATAAGAGGACATGGGAGAGTTATAGCAGTAATTCCTATGCTCTGGTGGCAGGAGGATCATAGGCCAACTTGGTATGCATAGTAAGGTCCAGGCCAGCCAAGGCTACATAGACTCTATCACAAAACATACAGAAATGGTACTATATTGAATTTCAGTCTTACAATAAAACTACATGCTTTTTTTACATATCAAATTCCAGAATATAGATCATTCTTATCTTCTTTAGGAATTGCCTTCTATTTACCTGCAATTTGCATACTCATCTGGTATGACATTAAAATTATTAAAAGGCAAAATGTGAGACCACTTTTAAGAAAGCTTTCAATTCTAAAGTCAGAAGACCTAAATAGCTCCCAGGCTAAGAAAGAAAGTAAGCCTTATTTCATTGTCAGAAACATAAAGGGCATATCATTAGGTAATTCTATTTTGAAACAGAAAACAGCAATAAAATTATAATCCTATTTATCTTTTTTAAAAGAATTTGAATTTAATGACTCATGCCAGAGCTCAAAGATAAAAGCAACTATTGGAGCACAGGGTAGAGCTGACAGATAAGACAAGTGTAAGATATACAAAGGTATTTTGAAATCCAGGTACATAGAGACAATGTCTAATAGCTTAGTTTTATGACACTGACTATAATGCAAGACAAATAAATATACTTTCATGAGTCTCAAAATTGGATACAACTCTCTCATTATTTTATCACGTTGATGGAAATAGAGAAATACATTTCTGTTACATGACAGAATAGAAGAAAACAGACTGATAGATGTCACATCATACATTTGACACTTCCAATTGGTTAAGCTACTTTGGAACAACTAGTTGTATGAGAATTAAGCACAGGTTAGTTTAGAGGCATTAGTTTAGGCAAGGATAAGCAGACACTTGCCAAAGTGCTACTTCCAATGTACCAACTACAAGGAGAGTTCATAGATATACATCTAGGCTTTTTGTTTGTTTGCTTGTATGTCTCCTACATGCCAGACAAGTGCCCCACAACGAAAGCTATACCCACAATTCCCTCTGACATTGCAAGGCAACATATCTAGCAACAATTTACTCTCTTGACTTAATTGATCTTATGCCTTTAGAAAAGAAGAAGAGAGGCTAAGCCTTTGTTGATTGCATTTTTGTCTCCCGAGAAAGTGCCGGATAACAAACCAGACCATGAAAAACTGAATCACTGTACATATGCTACCACTCAGTATGTTGCTCAAGAAAGTTAATTTGGCCTCTCTCATAGGTTTCATGCCAGTAAGTTTAATAGTTTCTGTATGATATAAGGGATGTTCTTTAGGGTCAGGTGGGACAATGTATAATAAGCACAGAGTCGATCCTGACAGTACTGGTAGTGGTGGTCACTATACTCCTGGTGGGCATAGGATTAGTCTCTATTAATCTCTATTAATACTACTAGATTTTAAGATTATAGTTAGCTTGCAAGCTCTTATTAGATGTACAGAATCATTTATATCACAACTTCAAACATAAAATAATCTCCAGAATATTAGTGGCATAATGACATCACGGAGTTAAAATATTCTAGAAAATAAAAAGGCAAAGGAAGTGATAGATTGCAAAAACCTTCTCCATTCTGCTTTCTTGTGCTCATACACCTTCAGTATAGCTTTAAATGCTATCCTGATAAGTCCCTTTCTTACTGTAGTGACATTGCAGGTCATTGGCTCACTAGATGACTTCTGAGTCTAGGCCTCAGGAGCCTTGCAGAGCTTCCCTCTACAGCCTTCTGCATGTATCAGGAGAACAAGCTTGGGCTATCCAGCTTAAAGACTGAAGGCATTTCACATCCCTATTGTAATCCTAGCCAGCACTCAGCCAACCTGTAAAGGAAAGCAATCCTAGAACAGCCAGGACAAAATCACAGGGCAGCTGAACAAATAGTTGAGAACCAGCTCTGTCATCAGTTATGGCTAACAGAGGACAATAAATTCTCCCCAAAAAACAGTAGACTGTGGAATAATAGTACACTATTCTTTCAGATAAACCAGTTGGTTTTAGGCTGATGTGCCATGTAACAATAGCTATTATATATTATTCAGATGGAAAAAGCACAAAAGAATTTATGCTATATTGATAAGTGCTAAACCTGTGAAATACATACGACTTTATCTCTTTTAAGGTATATATTGATGTTTCTGTAACAAAGTCACCTTTACTGTTTCTGAGTTTAGTTAATAATAATAATTTCCTAACATAAACACATTTCTTGCATATTCAAAATTGGCCTAAAATATTTCAGCAGTAATAAGTCAATATTTTTAGATAG